GGGGAAGGAGGGGAACTTGCCCATTGGGTGTTTGTAGAAGGAGGTGGTCCAAAGTGCGAGGGGTGTGTGTGTGTGTGTGTTTGTGCACTATGCAAATGACAGGCAGATAAACGTGTCCGAAGTGGTGAGGACCCAGGGCCTATGAAAATGTTTTAATTTCTCTTAAAATCAGAAGAAAAGAAAAACAACTTTCAGGTCAAAGAATATGTTTGAATAATATTGTCTTAACAGCAATGCAGTCACAAAATGTAATTGAAAAAGAGGCCCACCAGGCAAAAGTGCCTTGGACCTGCAAAAGTCGTAATTTGACCCTGGGAGAATCCTATTGGAGAAGGCCTGGGGGAGCAGGCCTGTGTGGGTTTAGGGGCCGGATGAACAGGATGGGGGTGTACAGCCTATGGTGATGCCAGAGCTACCTCCAAAACTGTGTGTGTGCAGTTTCAGAGACGGCCCAGGCTTGCTGGAAGGAGCAAGGGACCTGGGGTCCGCATGAAGTTGGTTGGGACACAGGCTGGTTCTCTGACTTTGTGCTTTGATAAGTCCTGGGGCAGATTGTGTGCATCATAGGGCAGCACTGGGGAGTGTGGATATTTTTAGGGATCAGATGTATGGGACGGGTGTGTGTGGAGTGTGTGATGTATTTCATGTGTTCCACAGTGTACAGAAATGTTCATGAGTGCAGGAGTGTGTGTGAGAGAGCATGTGGCAGTGTGTGTAGGTGTGTGTAAGGCAGTGTGAGTGGAGGGCGGTGGGAACAGTGTGTCTGCATGTGAATGTGCAGGTGTATGCACATGTGTGGAGACCTCTCAGTACTGTCCCAATCCCAATATCTGGAAGCCGGGATGCTCCATTGAACTCCTTCCCCCCATGAGGCCCGAAAGAATGGGTTCCCCTCCCTGGGGACCTGCAGCTCCTTGTCCTGTCTGGTCCACAAGGCCAAGCCCCTAGGTCATCCTGGCTGTTCCCGACGCCTATCCTATTTCTCCATTCCACCCCCAACTCTGCTTTCCGCCTTTCTTTGGGGGAGGGAGAGCTCCTCCAGATCTCAGTCCCTAGCCTGCCCTCCGTGCTCCTCCTGTCCTCGTTCCCTGCCTAGCCCGGCGAACGCGAGGACGCGCAGTGCCAGTGCGCCACCTGCTGGTTACTCCGGGGCTCTGCGGGCTCCCCAAGCCCGGCGTCTCGCCAAGCCCCGGACAGGGAGGGGTCTCCTTCGTGGACCCTGTCAGGAAGGGAAGCAGGCAGGGGCTCTGTGTCCCTTTCCAAAGTCAGATCCCCGCGGTCGGATGCCGGAAGCTCAAAGGACTTTGAGAGCTCCAGATGGCGGAGACAGAGGGCCACAGCCCACGGGTCGAGGGACAGGACTGGGTGCCCGCTGGGTCTGGGCCGCTCCCGGAGGCCGCCGCGTGGGAAAGGTGGGGGCGGGGGGGGGCG